ACTCAATGTTCAAGTATGTGCTTTTGCTTTCGCATACGCACGTGGTACCAATTAACCGACTTCGGAAGGATGGGAGATTCGGTTGGCCCCGCGGATATCGATCGAGGTTCGAAACCGTGAACATGCCTGTGTGATAGTACGCCACTTGTCACTGCACCACCTCCGCCCGAGTAAAACGATTTTATTGAGAACTAAATCAGAGAAATGTCATTTAAGAGTCACTGAGGTGAAAGAACCGGCGTTTTCGAAAAGATCTCAATCAGATCTTGCCCTAAAACTAAACGGCAGCCAATTGTACGGCGTGTAACTCTTGAAGTTGTCAAGATATTGAGGGGGAGCATCAGTTTACGAAACTACCCAGTCATTCACATCGTCTGACAGCCATACTAAGGCCGACGGAATTTGTCACGTAAATTTTCAAGAAATATTATAAAATTTGACAAAAGTGAAAAGAGCTGATTCGTTGTGTTGGACGCCATTGCTTAATTGTTGAACTTCCGGTTCGGTAGAAAGCTCGTAAACCGAGGGATTGCCAATTAGGAGGACTCTTTTGATGGGATTGGACGATGAGAATTCGGGATTCGTTCGTCGCGTACTTAAGGTAGTAGGAGAAACAGGAGAGACAGTGGACGCCTACCCTAACCTCATCGCGCTTCATGTAACCACTCACTCACCTTTTACGGGTGAGAGTTTAGGATAAAGGATAAAGTTTTTTGGCGTTAATCAATCCCGTCTGAGGGATGCGCCCCCGCACTCCACTTCCATTTAGAATCGTAGTGGCGTAATGAGTGCGTATGTGGCCTATACAATGAGTTGCGGTGGCCAGCCGATGTACAAGTCAGTGCTTTTATCCTCCCAGACGAGTCTGNTAACAATTCACCGACCCCGGAGGGATGGAAGGCTTGGTTGGCCTAGGCGGGCATCGATCCGGGATTCGAACCCCTGACCATGCGTGTGATATAGTGCGCCACTTGCCACTACACCACCACCGCACTGAGTATATGTTCAGGAATGAACGGGTGAGAGTAGCAGCCCCTAACTACCAAACCACATCAGGAATGCTAATTGTTATCGTTGAGACGACCGCTACTCGGAATGGCGTTGGTTACTCGATATGCGTTCAGCCACGAGATTCTGACGAATACAAGGATTTCGACCAATTACGACGCTAGAAATCGAACTCCGACCTCGCGCGATGTAAGCCACAGCTCCTTACCACTAGACCATATCGGGAACGCCATAGTAGCTGTAGTGAAAAGGCAAATCAATGATAAGCAGAGTCAAAACAGCGACTGGTGAGACTCTTGGCGCTATTCTCCAAACTGTGTCCGCGTACGTGACCATGTCCCCTTCTTAGCCAGGACAGTGTCCCCCTTCCACGTATCACCGAACCATGATAACCTGCGAATGGATTCGTCGGCCATTTCCGATTCAAGCACCTTTAATGTAAGGGGATGGCATTGCGAGTATTACACATCCACATGAGCAGTACTTTATCCAAGTGAGGTACGAGAGCTGGCGATTGCGGCGATTGAGAAAGGCACTCTGTTACAGTTTGCCCAGACCGTTCACTGTGTTCGATGCCGCTGCTCAGTTGATGAATGATCGTGTTCGGTAGAAATCTTCAGTGTGATTTGAGGGACTGCCAGTTGAGAGTACTGGTTCAGCATTAGTATAGGTGTATGCGAACTTTCACCACTGTTGGAGATCGGTCTCTTGTTGAGGTTATAATTATTGAAAGGGTGACGACGGACCTTTCCGCTTGGAAATCGACATTGATAATTGATATTTCCTCAGAATCCAATAGTATGGTGGCGAACTACTTGCTCACGAAAAGTTTCCTGGATTACATCATTTAGGAGATATGCTCATGTAAGTGGACGCCAGCCTAGGCAGCGTACGTGAGCTCATAAATCCAATACTTCCACTTGATGCAGCTGTTGTCTTTCATTTACTAGAAAAACAACTCTGACTCCTCAAGATCATCAAGCGGATCATGCATTGGATACATTCGCTCTACATATTGTAACACTTCCATCAGCTATTCATTCATTCATTTTTCTTGATTTTCTGTCTGTCACTGCAAATCGTGATATAAGCCTCATGAAATGAATTGTTGACTAATTCCTCCTAATGTAACCAACTGGGCTTAGTTTGAAGAGCATAGGTTGAAGGATGTAATTTTCTGAATATAACGACTAGGTGAATTACTGAAAAGTCGCGAACTTGTCACACAAATGGTTCGGACCGATTCGCCTTAGACCAAGTATAAATCTCCCAATTGTCGATGAATAGTTACCAGACGTATCGAGGAAGATCAGCACTGACTTGCCCATGTTCTAGCCTCCGCAGGCCATTGTAATGGACAAACATGCATTCAAAAACCACTGACCGAAGTCGAATGCGTCAGCGCATCTCAAAATAGCACGGGTCAATGGCAGAACTTTCATCTCTTCATTCTATTCCTGTGCACTGGAGGGATCGAAAATACTTTACTTTGTGTAGCTGTAGCTCAGGGATATTCTGAGTTCATGATAAGTTTGAATTAAATTTTCAATGGTAAGTCATGCCCAAAATATACTTTTCACCTTACTCATATAACCACAAGCACCACTTCAAGGAAAACATCCTAACTTCTGTGACGATTTCAAGCTTTCCGCGACTGGAGTGACCCAGTCACAGTTGATATCATCAGTTAGCCATTTTGGAATCCAAAAACTCGTATCGATTCCCCCCTTTCAGCTTCAGGTTTCAGGCTTAGTTTTATGTCCATCGCAGATTCAGTGCTCAACTCCTGGGTGAACAGCCCAAGGAAATCTCTGAGAATCCTAACTATACTTTACTTCTGATACGGCCATTCCAAGTTTTCTGCGAACGAAGAGATGGCAGTCACCTTTGTCATCGTTGGTATCGTTTGACCGCATTGCACCCGGTGAACCCTGCTGCCGAGAGATGGGCCTGGTCGACCTTTTTCTTCGCAATTCATAGCGCAGGCTTCGAAGCGTGGCAGGGCAGCTGGCGGTTGTACTGGTGACGGGAGGATGAGTGAGGTAGAGGGCACAACATGACCAGAGAGGCCCAGAGACACCTGGCATTTTCAGCCAGAGAAAGTCACCACTAAGCTACATTCCTTCACCCAAATCACTGCCTATCGCATAATGTTCTGGAGTGTATGGTTGGTTCCAGCGTTTGACTTCGGAGGAACGAATATTCGGCAGATCCAATCTTACATTTACTAAATGTTGTTTACAGTGAGTTCGATCTCAACTGACAGACTTCGTTCACGAACAGAGGTGTAGGCTGAAACCCCTATCAGATTGCTTGATCTCTTTGAACAGTTCGAAAAGACTAATTGTTTCGGTTCCTCCCATGGGGTTCTAGAAATATGTGAAGCCACCTCTCTTGCTCGAGACGATCAGACTTCCTATGAAGGCATCGATCTCCCGAAGCACCTTCGTTTCGTATTTCTGCGTCTTCACTAGTTTACCATCCAGTAACCCTTTTTATTGTAGCCAATAGACTACTCCGATACTGTAGTTTTGCAGAGCTTTTTCGAATCCTTTACTGTCAAGGCTTGTTCTGAGGATTATCCCAACAGAGTCGGTGATTATCCAAGTGTGATTCAGTCCATGGTAACTTTACCCACGATTAGGAGTTTGGGTGAGTCTCGTCACTTTCGCCATCTTCCGATGTTATGCCGCCTGCCTGCTCCTCCTCCAGTGGTAGTTTACAATGCAAAGATCGATGCTTTGGCTTGCCAGCCCTGCAGTGTAAGCCCAATATCACCTCCATCAGTTTGATCCCCGCACCCTTTTATACCTCTCCAAGCGTGATTCTGTTCATTTTCTGTCCCCTCATGAATAGGTGACTCATCAGATCTTATTCTTGAGCATATTTAAGAGAGCCCCTTGGAGTTTCTGATTCATGAACAGAACCAAACTTCTTAACGATCACAGAAATGGCTATGCAGTACTCCAGATCCTTCGCAGTGCATATCTCTTGCTATTTGACATATCTGCTTCTCTCTTTACAACTTTGTAACAATGTAGGCAGTTTTCTTTTATNTCATGAATAGGTGACTCATCAGATCTTATTCTTGAGCATATTTAAGAGAGCCCCTTGGAGTTTCTGATTCATGAACAGAACCAAACGTCTTAACGATCACAGAAAAGGTTATGCAATAGTCCAGATCTTTCGCAGTGCATATCTCTTGCTATTTGACATATCTGCTTCTCTCTTTACAACTTTGTAACAATGTAGGCAGTTTTCTTTTATTATTACGCATTCCTACAGAGCAACAATTTAAAGGGATCCCGAGAAGTAAGCCGTGAGCATTGTGAAGTACTCTCCTCCTACGCCCTCTCTTTTACAAAGAGCTTGATTCTTGATCAGTGTGAAGTTCTATGTACGTTCCCTTTCAGACGCTGGCTATTCGGCCTCAGCCTCACAACAAGACTCCTGTCGTTTGATTTTTCGTACAACAAAAACTTCTCAGAGGCCATTTGAGCTTCAGCACCTTTTCAAAAGTTGATCCAGAGGTCATTTACGCTTCAGCACCAAATGCTCCAAAGAGCCTTTGTTATTTAGCAATTCAGTCCCGATAACGTATCCTTGTTCTCGATACTATGCATTCAACGGTGCTTCAAGGTTTTGACAGCTCTTTCTCTTCAATGAGCAATAAGTTTAGAGCCTTCCGACAACGGTCTCCATTCCATTTTCTTCAAAATGCTTATGGTTAACCCAAAACCGTCTGAAACCTCAATGATGATTTGTCCAGCACGATTTCGTGCGAAGAAAACTTGCAAATTCCGTTTTGTTTCAAAAGTTCAACGAAATTTTCTTCCCGGTCTGGCTCTTCGTCGCCCCACATGTTCCTTCTCATTGCGGGGTCATCTAATTGAGCTACACAGTCGACGTACGCACCGTCGGATTTCGCACGTCGCTACAAGAAAGTTTCCCATATGGGGAAAAGATCCACACAGGGTGCGTAATACTCAGCCATGAAGGCGCAGTACTCAGCTCGTCGCAATGACGTGATTCATCATCTTCTACAATGTATGCGTTTCGATGACTTCCGTTCTATTCATCGATACATTTTTCGCCACTATCGATTTTTCGTAAAGGGGGAGGAGGGAGCTTCTCCTGTGTGGATTCTCCAAGAGCTGTGGTAGACAGCCAGCCGTGAAAGCATCCCACTAGCAACACATGCCATTTTTCTTGGCACCTTCCGCGAGTACTGGAGGATGTTCCAGTGATTCGTAACTCTGGACGTGTTCTTCTATCAGCCATCGCGCGTGCGCTCCCACACGTCCATTTCTTCTCACCGAGCACTTCCTAGTTGTTTCCACTTCATTGTAGGGAAACCTAGGTATTTCAAAGCATCCCTTATTGTTCAACACAAAAAGGAAATTCTTCATCATCCAGCTGCTACCCTGAACCGTATCTCTCAGTCAATTTTGAAGATGCTTGATTCGCTCTGAGTTACCGTGACGATAGATTCGGTAAAGGATCAAAAGATTGTGGTCAGTTTCAGGGAACATAGCCGGCGCCTCGGCGGACGGCGACAACGATGCTGATATCCACGTTTCTGGTGGGCCTTATCCTGATTCTCGAGAGGCCCAGCAGGTATGTATCCTTCGCTCCCAATAATATTTAGAACTTCAAGTCTAATTTGCTCTGGAATTTATGAGCACTATAAAGTAGGGACGTAAAATTTTGCCATTTGCAGAAATTTTATGATTTCTTATAAGATTTCAGACTTCCATACTTCAAAGCTGAGCCAAAATCAGTAAATTAAGTGCATAAAAAGACGAGCAACCAAGAATGTGGTGGCCGGTTATCCACTTATCCTAATAACTTCTATTTATAAAAACCTTGCGGAGGCCGCAGGATGGGTGCCAGATGTTGATGAGACCTTACCCGCTCCCCTTTGTTTATTTTTCTTATTCTAAAAATTGATTCCGAAATTAGAAGCAGCTGTTTGATTGTTTCTTCAGCACCATTTTTAGTGGCTCCGTATTGACACCGTCACCTGAGTGCTCATTTGCTTTGAACAAAAATAATAACCGTCAATTTAGCGACAGAAAAGTTTTCGTATGAAACACCTACAAATTATGGCTGATTCACTGGAAAGGACTCACATTAAGTGGCAGAAGATGTAGCGTCCAATTCCACTTATAGTATGTGTATCTAGCACTGTAAACAAACCGATCAGAACAGAAGTCCCCCTGTGAAACTTATTCGTATACGACAGCCTGGGGCTGGGCGTAAGATACGCGTTGGAGAGATTCCGATATTTCAAACGTCCAGTCAATCAAACGTCTTATCGACTCCAGGTGAACTCCGCACAAGTGGCATGCCCCGAAGTGACCAATTCATCACTTTACTACGATCATTCCGACAAATTCGCCCAGTATTCGAGTAAATTGAGAAAAACTGCTTTCACAGGGGAAGAACTGTACGAAGTTTCGACTATTTCATCTCAATCCGACCACCTTGTTACTCGCTAGTCACTTTTCCTTGCAAGGTACCGGGCCCCACGGTACTGGTGCCACTGAAGAGGTACCGTCCATGGCTTCTTTTATTTTTGCTCCACCACAACTAGGTCAAAACTGAAATTTAGGAGACCTACGCGTTCGGATTTTAGAAATACGAAGGTCGGGAATTCAATAAGTTTTTCCAATCTCGTACCCAAATTTTTCTTATGACAGAAAATGAGCGATACAAACGTAGAAGGAAAACGTTTTCGGAAAGAGTGAGTCACCATCAAAAATAGAATAAAAATAAGCAAATACTATGAAAGATGGTCTCAGGATGCTGATCATTGGGGACTACTAACGGATTATGTACAGCCCACATAAATTTTTTTCGTGTCGTAGTGATACGGTCAACTTGAGAAGCATGAGAGTTGCTTCACAGATCGCACTTTGTCAATGAACTTCAAAAATTGTTCAAAAAGTGCACCGGAGAAAATCAACTCCTAAGTGCTGGCTTAGTTCAACTGAAGCGATTTCAATGATTGTTGTTGTCAAGGTGTCGTAGTACTCAACAACTTTTCAGATTCGTCGACGCAGCGGCCTGCAAGGGATGCGCACCACCATGCATATGCCCAGGAACAAAAGGAGAGAAGGTACCTTGCTTTTATAACCACCAAAAACTCACTGGGGTAGAGTTTCAAGTCATTTGACACCCTAGATAGAGCGAGATGTCACGTGGTGAGATATCACTCCGTATCGGATTATAATGTCAGCAATTAAAGAGGGTCAAAGAATTTCAGAAATCAGTGGGTACCAATTCGAGAAAATTTATACCAATACCATTCTTATAAATAATACTGTAAGTGACCTTTTTTATAGCTTTGACCATCCGCAAAGTTTATGATTTGGTGAAGGTAGTGAAATGGAAAACCTGTCGCAAACTGAAATCGTAACATTTGGGATAAGGCTTGAAAATGGGGTAACTGACAGCTCTTATACAGAATGGACCATAACAAGGTGAATTTGCTCCGTTATTCAATCGATCCACAGCGATGAGTATCAAAACGAGGTCCGAGTTCCTAATCCATCATGTCAGGTGACAGGCGATACTGAGGGGACACACATTAGCGCTTTGCTGACGATAGCTAATGAGCTTTTACCATTCATACAACACTGAAAGCTGCTAATCAGAACATAACTTTTCCTCCAGTCCTTCAAATTGTTAGTACACTATCCGCCCAGCCCGGCCAGTCAGGCATCTGGGAGGGAGAAAGCGCCCTTTGTACATTGCCTGGCAAAAACGAATTCAATCCGCTGATTGGAGGACGAATGCAGGGTGTACCCCAAAAGTGGACCGATTACCGCCAAGAGACTTCGCCATGAATTTTCAGTAGGTTTAAGCGGACATTAGACTATCAGATCAGACCAGATCGGACCAGATCAACGGATTTCGAACTGCGTTCGACAGTAGAATTTCCGTTGTCTGATACAGTCTGAGATCAACTAGCGAGTAAATCTACAGTGGAGTAAAGTTAAGGGCACAAGTGACAATTTCGGTCGTTTCTGGAATGGCTGATCATGCAAATTTTAGGGTGTTTCTGGATTTCCCGGAGAGGTAGGTCATCCAGGCGCTCCGGGACCCGATGGACCTGAGGGTCCTGTCGGCGCTCCGGGCATGATCGGAGCCGAAGGCGACTTTGGTGATATTGGACCAAAAGGAGTTCGAGGTGACAGGGGTCTGCCCGGAGCTCCTGGACATCCTGGACTGCCAGGGCTTGACGGTCTTCCAGGATTGAAAGGAGAGGAAGGAATACCAGGATGCAATGGCACAGATGTAAGTATATCCTGATTGCTTTTTCGATGTGAATTGCTTCAATTAAAAATTTTCAAGGGCTTTCCTGGACGGCCAGGACTCGCAGGACCACCTGGCCCACCTGGACCCCCTGGAGCTCCAGGAAGACCCGGACCTCCAGGACTTCCAGGAGAAGGCGGAGTCAATTCGGTTGGACGAAAAGGAGAAAAGGGAAGCCCTGGAACACCCGGAATGCCTGGTCTGCCTGGACACGATGGTTTGCCTGGATTGAAAGGATGGAAGGGAGATCCCGGACCCCATGGGCCACCCGGGTTTCCTGGACCACCTGGCCCAAAAGGAAGGATGGGCGCACGAACACCTGGTGTCAAGGGAGAAAAGGGATTGCAAGGACCGCCAGGATTGCCTGGACCCCCAGGAGCATTTCCAGGAGCATCTGCTCCAGAAGAGATTGAAGTTCTTCAAGGTCCCGTCGGACCTCAAGGTAATTATTGTCACTAAGTATCGGAAGTTTTTCTCAAAAATTCATCTTATACAGATTCTTTCAGGAGTGAAAGGAGAGAAAGGTCGCGACGGACCTGTTGGACCCCCTGGAATGATGGGAGTAAATGGCCCAGATGGATATCCCGGCCTAAAGGGCCAGAAAGGAGACGTTGGAGATGCGGGAAATCGAGTAAGTGAGCAGTGATTCCTACCGATCATGGTTCTTTTATTGGAGCGAATCCTTTTCAGGGGAAGCGAGGAAAGGACGGCGTTCCCGGACAATTCGGTGAAAAAGGATCTCAAGGAGAGCAAGGGCTACCGGGTCTTCCTGGATATCCGGGACCCAAAGGTGAAGCTGGAGAACCGGGCTATGATGGACGTCCTGGAATAGAAGGAGACGTCGGACCACCTGGTCCCTTCGGAGAGGGTCATGGTGATGCTGGAGTACGTGGACTGCAAGGAATCGACGGAGTGCCTGGTCCAAAGGGTCAGCCTGGAAAGAACGGTCTCCCTGGAGCTGTTGGACCTAGAGGACCCGTTGGAGCACCTGGTCCTCAGGGACCTCCTGGGCTGAACGGCCTTCCTGGCTACTCTGAAAAAGGAGACCGGGGTGAGGATGGATATCCAGGCCGACCTGGTGAACCTGGCTTGCCTGGTGAGGAAGGTGATTGTGGCCTGCCCGGTGAAGATGGTCCGCCAGGATATGACATACAAGGTCCACCCGGAAATGATGGTACGCCAGGAAGAGACGGATATCCAGGACTCCCTGGCGAGATCGGAGAACCAGGTTACCCTGGAGAGAAAGGATTCCCCGGAGCAGGAGTGAAGAAAGTTGGTCCACCAGGACAACCGGGACTTATAGGACCTCAAGGAGAAAACGGTAATGCCTCAAAATCTCATTTCCTCTTGCATTAACCTTTTTATATGATTACAGGACGAATTGGCCTCGACGGATTACCAGGAGTCCCGGGTGAGAAAGGGCCCAAAGGAGATGATTGTGGATACTGCCCCGATGGTCTTCCTGGATTGAAGGGAGACGCAGGAGCGCCCGGCGTAGATGGATACCCTGGACCTCCTGGTCCTGACGGCGAAAGCGGTGATTGTGGTTTGAAGGGACTGCCAGGAAAACCAGGATTTCCCGGACCGGATGGACTTCCTGTAAGGAAAAATTATAGTTTCTGACTACACCAGAAGCGAATTTCTCGTGTTCTAGGGATCAGTTGGATTGCCAGGAATTCCTGGTTATCCAGGTCTCAAAGGAGAAGCTGGAGAGATTATCGGTCCAATGGAGAATCCACCGGGTATCGACGGTGCAAAGGGAGAACGAGGACAACCAGGTAAGGATGACATGAAGTCGACTAAAATATATTTTCAAAGGAATGTCACTAGTTTTGCTCGAATCTGGGCTAACTATGACAAGTTTCAATTTTTCTGAGTCTTTTGGAGTTAAAGAAATCCATTTTCGGGTGCACCTACGCGTTAGAGCATCCTTTAGAGTAGCAGTAATGTTTTGAACGCTTATGTGCGTTGCACAATGACTTGCGGTACAATGTGAATGCACGAATGAGTGTTTTTATCCTCCCAGACGCAAATGGTTCTACTTACTCGAATGCGGAAGAACAGGAGGCTTGATTTGCTTAGACGGGTATCAATCCGGGATTTATTACTAGAACCTAGCTGTGGTGGAGGTGTGCTGCCGAAAGTGATAGCGGGCTACATGGGATCATACCACCTCAGCTATAGCTAGCTTATGCTTTAGAAAATAAGAGATTCGGGTGACTGAGGTGAAGGGCATTTCCCCGTTTTGGCCATCAACCTGTTCATTTCTAGTGCTTTATCTATTAGTCCATTTGTGAACAGACTTCGCTCCATCTCTTCTCAATCGAAGGCACCGCCAGACTTCAGGGGAGGGACTCGTAATCCTGAATCAGATCTCACCTCCATGCTCCGAAACTAAGCAACCTTGTCAGCGACATAACTGAACATCTTTTTACAAAAATGTTCTATTTGATGTTCACTTGCTCCGTCACTGTAGACCGCCATAGACTGGGATGTACTTACTAAATACGGGGAGTTCAGGAAGAAAAATTCAGTAGAGGCAAGAAGTTTCTGTATGAAATGCGCTACTGTTGCACTCACCAGGTTAATTCCATGGCTCTCAACACCGTTTCCAAGCATTCCCCTATGGATAAATCTTTTTCTGTTCTACCGAACACATCACTAGACATCATTCGGTAGCCGGAATTGAAAGGCACAGTTCAGGATGAAGAAGGTTAATGAGTCCTCCTCCTGGGAATACCAAATGGCCCCAAGGGTAACAGGAACGAC